GAAAAAAAAATAACACCAACTGTCACGACCCAAATCGAGTCATGAGTGACACCCACACTTAACTTCCTAGGTGGGCGAACCAAGGAATCCAAACCCCAAGATATATTAATAATTCAACTTACAAAATACTAACCATAATACGGAAGCTTAAATCTTATTAGTGTAAGAAACACAAATCAATTAAAGTCTACTATATGTTATCCCAAAACCTGAAAGTCATCACATCAAGGACATCTAATCTTCAAATATCAAGTCTAAGAGTATCAAATACACCAAAATAAACGAATAAAGTAGATTGTATCCGAAAACTTTGGACATCATGCCTTGACCGAGAGAATCCAACACGAGCTAGAATGAATAGCTCACCCTGGGACCTGAGGTGCTGGAGACTGACTAGAGCTGAGGGAAAGTTGAAGTCGTTGGCACACTCACTGCACTCCACAAAAGGAAAACAAAGAAAAACACAAGTAGGGCTCAGTACAGGGCAACATGTACTGAGTAGATATCATCCGACGACCCAAACTAGTAACTCATATGCATAAAGTAATAGTATAAAATCAACTATAGCACTTAGCAGGTGATAAGCAACCAACAACATAAACAAGTGACAACGGAATCAAGTATGTAATCAATCACAATATATATTAAGCACACACACGAAGCCACGCTCATTTGGGAAAATAGGTTCTTTGAGATTGAGTACATTCGGTTTGTTCAATATGTTTTCCATTGATATTACCGTGTCGGAACGTGACACCCCGATCCAATAATACCATGTCGGAACGTGACACTCCAATCCAATAATATTGTGTCGGAACGTGACACCCCGATCCAATAATATCGTATCGGAACGTGACACCCCGATCCAATAATACCGTATCGGAACGTGACACCCCGATCCAATAATATCATGCCGGTGGCACCCGATCCAATATATAGTTAGTTTATCAATTATTATCACCACTTTTCACTTCATTAACAATATTACGTCAAGCCTTCTTTATTCAAGGTATCACTTCGATAGAGAGGGTTTCAGATTATAAATCTCACGGTCTCAGGATTTCAGACCAATCACAAACCACACAATCAAGTACATAGAGAACTTCACAATATCACGCAATGCATATCAATCACCTATCTATCACATAGAATAAATCATAACCTACGTCCACCGAAGAAGCGAAATCAAGCAAGCTACTTTTCCAATACTTTTCCTTTCCTCCATGCCTCCGAACGTTTCCAATCTATCAAGTATGCATAATTTGTAAGTTAACGAGTCTATAGACGCCCATATTACTATATGTCTAGCCTAGACCCAAAAATCCATCCAATTCTATAATCAATTTTCCTAAAGTTCAAGCCTAAGGGTAAATCTCAATTCCTTCAATTAGCATAACTTTAATAGTATTTTAAATTAATATAATACACCTAATATTTAATTACCTATCTCAAAAAGTTAAACTTAAATCATAATAATTATAGAAAAAGTCGGAATAAAACCCAAAGTTACAAATAATTAAGCATGTCAATTCGCCGGAAACAACAATTCACACACCTTAAAATCTTCAATATCCTCACAAGCCATCCTTACCTAACCAATAACCTCAAACCTTATCCATCATTAGCCAATAATGGCCTAACTCTTGTCCCCTCAAATTGTCAAAGAACGTACTGCTAAATTCCAAATTCCAATTTAATTATATTTTAATAATTTGCATTCTATACTCTTAACACTTTATGGTTTCAATTAATATGATAGTTTGAGATTTCCTTACCTGCACAGTATCAGCTAAGTCGGCTCCACGCCTCCACGTGAGTTTCTAAATTAATTATGTACTAAAACTAATAAACCCTAGTAATTTATTTTATTATGGGTCAAATAGTATAGGGTATTAAATAATTATGATATTGACCAATTAATCATCAACTAAATAAATAATTAAAACTATCCCACTAAATTCATAAATGTAGTTACAAATAGTCCAAAATATCCATTTAGAATCTATCGAAAAGTATTTTATGAAATTAAAAAAATTCTAAAACTCAAAACGACCAAATGAATCGTTACACCAACCATTTTTTCCATTGAATTACTAACAAAGACAAGTGGTACATAATTTTTTATTTTAGAGAGACAAATCTGAAAACATCACTAGTCCATGAGATCGGAGCCAGGATTTTCAATAAGGAGATTCAAAATCTGAAAAAATAGACACACGAAGTAGCCGAAGAGGGTTCGACATCTATACATATCTAAAAAATTATTTTAACCATATATAAATCATATAATTTTCCGCCAAAGGGGGTTCGAATGAACCCCTGTGGCTCCGCCACTGCACGAGACAACAATATAAATTAGCACTTCAATCACATATGAAGTGCAGGACAAAAAAATAAATGGTGTACATACCTTGAAAAGCGACAAATTCAAAATTTAAAAGTAATATATATATATATAAAAGCATAAACTCCTAATTTGAATGTTAAATTATTATAATATTCCTAATTTAGGTTGTGACTTTTCTGATAAGTTATGACTTTTTTCAAAGGGTTGTGATTTTTTGATGAGTTGTGACTTTTCCAAAAAAGTTGTAACTTTTTCAATAAGTTGTGACTTTTCCGATAAGTTCTGACTTTTTTCAAAGGATTGTGATTTTTCGATGAGTTGTGACTTTTCCTAAGAGTTGTGACTTTTTCAATAGGAAAAATCTTTTTGGCCAGAATGATATTTTTCTATGTTATTTTACCTTTTAAAACATATTTACCCTTTTAACTTTAATACCTTTTAACTAAAAAATGAAAAAAGATCAGTTTGTTTTAAAATTAAAAAAATATTATAGTTTTTTTAATTTTCTGGTCATTTAGCACTTCCTTTTTCAATAAGTTGTGGCTTTTTCAAACTGTAGTGACTTCTCGAAAGGTCATGATTTTTCATATAAGACACAAAAAACATTTGTTCATACTACCCTTTGTTGACTATAAATAGAGGGACTTCCTCTCATTTTTCAACCACAATTTTTTCTAATCTTCTACTCTTCTTCTTCTTGCATTTTAATATTTTTTGTGTGATTTATTATCGTTGAGTGAGTTCGCAGTTTAGCGGAATATGAGGTACCACTATTCTAATGAAGTAAGTCGTTCTATCCTAAGAGGGTATATTCCATAACCTCGAGTACTTGAGAAAAATAATATAATTTTGATAATATAATTATTATTTTTTTGCTTAATATATACATTAGTATGTAATGTTCCAATATATGAAGTTAACATGATGTAGTCTAAATTCATTTGTTTTTGTTAACAATTTCTCTTGTGATGTACATATATGCTTCTGATATCTTTTTCCAAAATTTAGAGAATTGTCACGATTTGTTTTTGATGCTCAAGACAAAAGAATGACTTTATTTTATCAATATTACTTATGTGATTTAGATTCTCAGGAAGTTTGCTTCAAAATAGTTATTACTATATTAAAACATTGCCCTTTTGTTTTACTTATTTACATTTCTTTATATTTTAGACAAAGAAAAGTTCATATGACTTGTAATAACGTCAGTTGAAATTTTTATTAGTTCATATAATTAAGAATTAGAAATATATTATTGATTGAAAAAGGCAATAATAGCATATTATTGAATAGAAAAAGGCATTAATAGTATAAATTAGTATATTATTGATTGAAACAAAGACAATTTCATTTATATTTTTTTAGAACATGTCAATCAATATCGCTTATCAAAATAATAGGTCTAGAAAAAGAGGTTCCCCTTTCTTTATCTGCTCGAACTTAAGCTCCACATATTTTTTGTGTAATTATAAATAATCTATTCCGTAATAAATGAGATTGATACCTGACGATTCACTAAAATTTCATCCTCAAAGATAGTCAATATTGATAATATTTTTGGGACCTTTTGGATTAGCTGCCCCCTGGTCTGGTCCCTCAAAGTCCTTACATTATTTTATTTATGAGAAATTAAACCTCATATAATATCTTGTGGACATTATATTTTCTGGAAATTAATTTATATTTATCCCATCGCCCATAGGATATCACTATATTTATTTGTTTATCATTTATTATGATTTCAACGTTTATATATGTTCTTGAAAACGTGCTCATAATAATTCTCACAAATTTGCAATCGACAAACTCTTTTATAATTTGTACTTTAATATTGTAGATTTTTTGTAATATAATAGAATCGTTATTCTACAATTATACAAAAGGGTGAAATAGAAAAACAAAATTTAAATAACAAAATAATCAATATTGAATATTAGATTGTTAGATCGCCTCAGTATATGTAAATTTGAAATTTAGTTGATTACGCTTTGATTTGGTCATAAATTTTGAAATTGAAATTTGAAAATTTGAGTTTTTGATATTGTACTTTTTAGAACTTGAAGTTACATTTGAGCATGGATTTTATTTATATAAATTTTTTTTGAGTGAAATAAAAGTATTTCCTTAGATTATCTTCTGAAACTTAATTTTCTTTTTGAAGATAAATATTTTTAAATTAATCCAAAAATCAAAGCATACACACATGCAAACTTCTCCAATATTAGAATTCACGATTTAATTTAATTAAAAATTATCTCAAAAAGTTACTGATGATAAATATCTCAGAAAGTCATGCCAAGAAAAACAATTAGCACACAAAAGTAATGCAAGTTATGGTTAATAAACCAAGCAAAAAACAAACTCTAAAATGTACTGTAACTACTAAATATAGTACCCCACCATGTGAGAAGGTACTTAATTATTTTTGGATTTGGTCGGACAGATAGTGATATTTTTTTATTAAAAATATGTTAATTTAATTTGGTAATTATAAAATTCAAAAGAATTAATTATTTCACAACTCAAGTATTTGATAACTAGATAAGATGTAACACAAACCTAAGACATTAAACGTAAACAACATTGTTGTCCATAACATAACAAGTAAATATAATTAAGAACAAAAATATGTAGAAATAATTGTTTTCGATACTAAACTATAAAAAAAATTAATTGATCTAATCATCGAAAAGACCAAACATAGCATCATCCTCTTCAGACTCCGCTTCTTCTTCCTTCTTAGTATCTTCAGTCTCAACGATACCTTGAGAAGTTGCAGACTCAGCAACCGAAGCAATTGCAATCGCAAACTTACTAGGATCCTACAATAGTTTTATGAAAAAAAGAGTCAGAATTAATAGAACAAATAATAAAAGGAAAAAAATAATTAAGTATTAATTAGTTATAAGATAAAAATAGTTAAGGATTAAAGTACCATTACATGTTAAAATTTGCTTAACACTGTTAAGAGTATTATAGTAATTCCAAGATTATGGACAAATTCTAAGTCTCTAATCCATATGTAGATAGTAAATTAAAAACAAAATTTTGAAAATAATGGAGTGAGAGTAGTAAATTAAGTGAAATCTACTGGTGTGAAAAGGGTGGTATCACTGGTATGTGTATGTGCATTAATCCCTACTTTAATAAAAGTGGAGAAATTGTTCGTAATTTAAATTGCTAACACATGCTATAATACTGTCAGTGTATATACTATAAAATATATATTATTACCATTTGTTTTAAGTTGGATGTACTTATAAAACTCGTGAAATAACATAACAAGGTCACTTATGAGGTAATTCTTCGTAACTTCTATTCCTAACACATGCTATAATACTATCAACGTGCAGGGTCACTTATGAGGTAATTCCTCGTAACTTCTATTCCCAACACATGCTATAATACTATCAATGTACATAACAAGGTCATTATTCCTTCGTAATAATGTCAATTGCTAACACATGCTATAATACCATCAATGTACACAACAAGATCACTAATTCTTCGTAATAACATCAATTGCAAACACATGCTATAATACTATCAATGTACACAACAAGATCTCTAATTCTTCGTAATAACTTCAATTGCTAACACGTGCTATAATACTATCAATGTACATAACAAGGTCACTAATTCTTCGTAATAACTTCAATTGCTAACACATGCTATAATACTATCAATGTATAATAACAAGGTCACTGATTCTTCGTAATAACATCAATTACTAACACATGCTATGATACTATGAATGTACATAACAAGGTCACTAATCCTTCGTAACAAGGTCACTAATTCCTCGTAATAACATCAATTGCTAACACATGTTATAATACTATCAATGTACATAACAAGGTCACTAACTCTTCGTAATAACATCAATTGCTAACACATGCTATAATACTATCAACGTATATCAGTCGTAACACGAAAAAGAGTCAATTAATTACCTTGAGATACTCTTTGACTTGTTGAGCTTGTGGATATGTATACTCAGTCTCAAGAGCAACACACAAAACATTCTTGTAACCATTAACAATCATGTGTGGTGCAGCAGCAAGTGTTGGGTAAGAAATAGCCAAAGATAAAGTGGTCATCATTGCAACACCAGCAGCAAATTTTTCAACAAGGTCTTCATCAGTTAAGTCCAAAACTTCTGGGCTGAAAACTGATCCATTATCATAAACAGAAATAACAACAAGCCCATATGAAAAGGGCCTTATTCCAAGTTTTGATAAAAGGGCTGCTTCTGATGAGCCCACTTTGTCACCCTTCTTGATTAGTTCAACTGGGGTTATGATTTCAACTGTACCCCTATTGATCTTTGTGGGAATGTTGAGTACCTAAGCACAGTCGCGGATTCAGAATTGTCAATGGTTATAGTAAAAAATATAATTATGAACACACATTCTCAAGAAATTGTAACAACACGTTAACCACTAAACTAAATATTTAACTTGTGTGAAGAGATGTCAATACTTGTATATATATTTCTACCTAAATATTGTAAAAGGAAAAAATATCCTATAAAAAGGCAGAAATACATCAATTCATTAAAATAAACTCTTTTTTACAAATTAAAAAAATAAGCATTAATTTGGACTTTGGAGAAAAAGTTTGACTTAACAATTATAAATTAAAAGTTAAATCAATAATCTAGCAAATAAAGTACGTTAAACCTATTATAAATGGTTAAAACACATTAATATTATTGGTGTGTAAGTAAAATCTTTGTTAAAATTAGATAACGGAAATATATGAGATAATAAAAAAACCTGAAAAAAGGAAGTTTGAGAAGGATCAAGGCCAGTATTGCCAGGAGGAACAATCACATCAACTGGTGCAACTAATCCAACACGTGCAGGAGCTCCCACCTATTTACAATCACAATAATTCACATAATAATAAAGTTAGGTTCACAATATATAATCACTAAATAATTTATATGTATACATTTTTTATTAAAAAGTATAACCTAATATATATTAGCTTCTAATTTAATAATAAGAAAATATATTACCTTGTATTTTGCAACTTCTTCCTTTATCTCTTTCAAATCACCCTTGGTGAAGATCAAACCAACATTGCCCTATACAGAAAAATAAATAAAATTAAGCATCTTATAAATAAATTATATTTTACTAATAAATTAAGAAAATTAATATATAAAAAAAAAAAAAAAAAAAGCATGTATACACCGTGTAACTTCATATATAATTCAAAAATTAATAAGTCAAAAAAATCTTGAAGTATGGTTCAAAATTTGAACATGTTACAAAAGTTTATGAATATTATAAATATATCGAGATCAGATACTTACGACAAGAAGAGGAATAAGATTAAGGAAAGCATCGTTTCCGGTACTTTTCGCATGGATCCTAACGGACCTTTTCATCATAGTATTTTTCCCCATAAGTACGACAGAGTCACCTCGGAGACCCTTACGAATCCCTTGCATTTGACTAGAACCAACATTATCAGCATTTACGATTAATATTTGATTGTAAGAGTCTAAATATTTGCACAACTTTTGGTCATAAATAACCTTTTTTTCAAATTTTGTTGGTTTGATAGCCATTGATGATAACAATTCTTAGAGAGAAAAAAATTCTTAGAGAAAAGTGGTGTAAGAATAAAACCCTAGAACTAATATGAGGTATATATAAAAAAAATATTAATTTTGGTTGAGGGGTACGTAACCGTTGTTAATATTTTTTTATTTTTGGGGGAATGTGAAGAAGTTGGTGCAGTTACAAATTAGGACTCTTAAGAATCCAAATTAAAATAAAATTCTTTTTAAGTAGGATTGTGTTTTATTTCGAACCTGATTAACATGGGATACTTCGTGTATTTTTCAGAAAAATAAATAAAATAGGAATACTATTTTGGATTGTTTTATATTGAACCTGATTAACATGGGATATTTTGTGTATTTTTATTTTTTTAAAAATAAATATAGTATTTTTGGATGAAGAATCCGAATAAAAATAAAATTCTTTTTATTTGGATTGGTTTATTTCGAACCTGATTAACGTGGGATATTTTGTGTATTTTTTTATAAAAAATAAATAAGTAGAAATAGTACTTTTGGATGAAGAATCCGAAAAACTATATAATTATTTTGGGATTGGTTTATTTCAAACCTGATTAATGTGGGATACTTTGTGCATTTATATATATATATATATATATATATATATATATGATAGAATCGTAGTTTTGGTGATTTGGTCTATTATTGGTTATTTCAATTTTGGGTTAATATAAGGAGTAGTATTTTTGGTAATTTTTTATTTTGTTCTATTATTGCTAATTTGTATTTTAGGTTAATAGTAGTATATTTTTGTTAAATTTAGATTTTGGTCTATTATTTCTAATTTTACTTTTTGGTTATAATAGTAGTATTTGTTTGGAATTTTTTTTATTTTGTTCCATTATTGCCAGCTAATTTCGGTTTGTAGTTAATATAAATAGTACTTCCGGTGAATTTTAATTTTGGTCAATTATTGAAATTTGCAAATAACGTTGACTAATCATACATCAAAATATTGATGATCGAAAGTGCTAAAAGAAAAAAAATAATTGGTCAGATCGTTATCCTTATCAGATACTTTATGTTTTCAATTTATGTGAAAATGTTTGATTAGCTCGAAGTTTATAGAGAAAACAATATTTTTAAAATTGTGGCAATAAACATGTAGATAATTTCATGGCTATAAAATCATAACCCCAAGCTAAAATAAGATTTAAAATATTAAATATAAAAATATCACATTTATAATACATGCAT